TATCGGTAGCTGTATTTTCTGGATCTAGAACCATACTGCAGATTTCGCTGTTCATTAATTGATTGATGATTAGAGGGCAATTGTCGTCACAATGAAAAACTTATGTTATATAATCTTCATTTAGTTACCGCTTCTCCACAGTTCTTTACAAAATCCAATAACTGGAAAATTTCATGTTTATTTTGCGATATCCAAAAACCTTTAAATTTGTGGCTATCATCTTCATTGTCCTCACCATGAATTATGGTAGCTGGCCATAAATTATGCCAAGCACTTTTTAACGTATCTGGAGACACATTCTTCCACGATCTTGCGATGCTCCACACAGCAGATTTTATGCTAAAATATTACAAAAATTCTTGAATAGTCTTGCCATTGTTCAAAAATTTAAGGTGGATTTTTAAAATGCTAATTTATATTTACATTTCAGCGCACGCACTATTCCGATATCCATAGGCTGAATGACAGACGTACAATTTTGGAGGGAAGAATAATGCGGATACGTTATCTTTCACTAAAACCTTAATTGAAGTATGAGCAGAACAGTTGTCTATACCAGTGTTCCCAAACTTTTTATACCGTGGCCCGGTACGAGATTTTAAATTTTTTCACGACCCACCCTATAAAAAAAAGTTTATTTACAAAACAAATTTTATTTTTTAATAAAAATCAAAATTCAATTTATTTGTTTGTTTATTTCATACACAAAAATTGCAAAATAATTATATAACAAAAACATAAGTAATTAAAGACAATCCATTATCTTCATTTAAAACTTAAAAGTAAATTTTGTTTTACATATTTTGACCTTAGTGCGAAGGATGATGTTGTTTTTCATCACATAGTAATTTCAAATTAGGACTTAATGATGTTAATTTTATTCCCAAATTAGGTTCAACATCCAAGCTGTTTCTTATTTTTTAAGTACACCAAGGCTGAGAACGCAGTTTTGCACGTATAAGTGGTGGCAAAAGGCATTAAAAATTGTATCACTTTTTCGCTTACACTTGGATATTTCTTTTGACAGCGGAACCAAAAATTAATTAGTGGTACACTTTCAAACACATTTTTAAGATCGGTGTCGCATGAAATTTCAATTAAATTGTCAATTTCTTGTTCACTAAGATTAAGCATTTCTTCCTTTTCAATATCGACAGGAAAAGAATCTTTAATCCACATATTCTTTAAAGGAATATCCGGAAAGTAGTCTTTAAAACTATTTATTAGATCCGAAAGATGTTCTTAAATTGAAATTGATAGTGTTTCAAGATGTAAATCTTCATTGTAGTTTAAATAGGTTTCAATAAATGTATGTAATGTCTCAAAAGATTTAAAATTTCCTTTTGAAAGTCGTTGTTTTCACAGAGTCATTTTTTTAATTATTGCAGCAACTTTTTCAGTGAAAATATTTAAACCAAAGCCTTGCAAATTTAAATTCAATTCATTGAATGTAGCAAATATGTTGCACAAATAAGCTACTTTTATTAACCACTTGAAATCGTGGAATCTATCCTTATCTTTTTTAGATGGTGGGTGTTCATTCAGAAATACCAAGGCTTCATCTTTTAGCTCAAACAGACGTTTTAAAACATTTCCTTTTGAAAGCCATCGTGAATTACAATACAAAAAGAGATGTTTATGATCACTCCCCATTTCCTTGCATAATTTGATAAAAAGTTTGCTATGTAATGGAGGAGACGTTATGCAGTTTACAAACTTGACACATTCTTCCAAAGTCATGTTTAAATTTAAATGCATTTGTTTTACCGCCAATGCTTGCTTGTGGATACTACAGTGCACCCGTACACAATTAATTGCTAATTCTTGAATTTGTTTAAACAAACCTTTATGACAGCCTGCCATTGCACATGCTCTGTCACTACTTAGCCCAACACACTTCATCCAATCAATACCGTGACTAGTGACAAAATCATTGGTAGCCTTAAAAATTTCATCTGAGGTCGTTTTTGTAGGTAGCCTTTTACAAAACAAAAAATTTTCCTGTATGGTGTCTTCATCAATATATCTGATAAAACACATTAGATTTGCATTATCCTCGATATCTGAGCTTTCATCTATTTGCAAGGAAATAAAACTTGCTCTTTTTTTTTTACTTGAGCAATTAGTTTTTCTTCTAAATGTTTCGTGCAATCATCAATTCTCCGTTTAACTGTATTATTTGATAATGGTATCGCCGAAAATAAACATTTTTCCTTTATTCCGCATAAATTATTTGCAACAATTTTCAAAGCGGAAAGTATTAATTTTTCTCCAGCACTATGAGGATACCCAGTTTCAACTATTAATTTGGAAATTTCAAAAGCTGTCAAAGTGAGTTTTTTATTTGACTGGTGAGGTAAGAGTGTATTTTTATTTTTTTTAGCAGCAATCAATTCATTTTTCTTATTAGTAAAAAAGTTAATTGGCTTATCAGAGTACTCAAAATGGAGTGTGGTTTAAAATGCCGTTTCAACTTTGATGGTTTCATACTTTCATTTGAAAGTTGCTCATTGCAAATAACACATAGCAGCAAATTATTCTGACTGCTGCCGCCAATGAACCCAAAGCGTAAATATTCGTCACAGTAGTTGCGAGTCCAAGTAGCTTTACGCTTGTTATTTTGGCGCTTTATATCTGCTTTAGGTGCTTCAGGCACAGTTTCTTCACAGTCATGAGGTTCAGCTTTGCTCGTGCTTGGTTGATCATTATCATTTAAATCTGTGGTTTTCTTGATTAACCCATTTATCCATTTTAAAAAAGGTTGAAAGCTTTAATAAAAAGAATCTGTTTATTAATGATTTATAAGAAAAAGTATTTTTATTAATTACCAATATGAAGTTGCTATTAATAATAGGTAATAATAACTATTGTCAAATAAAATAGGTAACAAAAATTCAAACATAACCTTGTTTTGATACATGTTAGTTTACAACGCATGTACTGGAGAAAGTACTGAATGACGAATCAAAATCAGCCAATCAGAGCATCCAAATTTAAACGGTCTGGTAGGAAACCGTGGTAAAGAGTTGTTACCTGCAGTACTTGAAAAGGTTTCGAAAAATATTAAATTTAGAGCAAAATGTTATAGATTTTTTGTGTTTTTACAATTTTTGCCACAACCCAGCTGAATTTTTCTGCGACCCGCTTCCGGGTCGCCACCCACACTTTGGGAAATGCTGGTCTATACAATCAGAAGTATTTTTGAGTCATCCCTTGGGTATAAAATGATTTTCAAACCAATCATTCATTAATGCTTGTATCATCCATGCTGTTTAATTTGCACGATATATGGGAAAGTCGTTATTCCTTTAAATGCTCGAGGTCATGCATGTTTTCCAATTACGAAAAGTTTGTATTTTAAAAAACATATAAAAATCCCTTAATTTTGCCGCTCGGTGCTTCCCCAAATTCCAAAAATTTTGTCTTTCCTAAATTCTGCGGTCCGGTGCCAACATATTCTGCTACCCCTTCTGGGTTTATGGTGAATAACATATCAATTATTCTTAATTAAAGTAGCACTAAATGTAATCTTTTGGCCTATGACTTTCATTAACAAAATCTATTTTTAGCATTTGAAAAGAAATTTTTGTTGAATTTTTTCTTGTCAACATTTCTTAGAGCATTTAAAAATCTATAATTATCGCCAAGCGTAATGTTAGCTTAAAACTTTGCCATACTCTTGTTATTCAATTACTAATATATAAAAAAAAGTTTAGACATCACTGCTTGAGTTATTACTGAAACTGTCATGTATTGATAAACATGCAGTGATGAAAGCAAAATATAATAAATAATGACTCATCAGGTCGGGGTCAGGGATATAAAATAGGTAAATGTTTAGGTTTGAGATGTAAGCCCAGCAGACACTCAGCTACGAAGCCAAATTATTAATCTCACAAATTTATGCTTACATCATTATTTTTCCATAATGAGGTATTTTATTTAGTGCCTAAATGAAATTAAGAATCGGAATTTTTAATTGAAAATCTCCACATGTTTTATTATGGAAGGAAAAATCAAATGTGTATGCCTTAAGCATACAAAAAAAAAAAAAAAAAAAAGTTTGTGGCTTTGAGGTTCGGATTTTAGATCATTCTGAATAATGGACATCCGGATTTCGGACTTCGTGCTGTATATATATTATATATATATATACTTTTTTTTTGTTTAAATCAGGAACTTATTTATTTAAAATAATTTTTCATCTTTATAAACTTTGTTATTACATGATAATAAGTCTGGCCTTTTAAAATTCCATTAGGTGATGTTAGAATTTAGTACTATCACAAAAGACACATAAAACAGTTAAAATTAGACAAGTGTACCGTTATTAAGTGGGATTTTATGTAGTTTTGAAAGCAAGTGTTCTAAAAACGTAATTTCAGTTTTTACAAGAAAATGTTATTATAGCATTTATGTGTTGATAATGGAAAAATATGATTTTGAAAAGAAGAATCAGAAATCAGCATTCCTTTGTAAAATAAATATAGATGTTAGATAAAGTGGTATATCTCTCTCAGCATTATTTAAAATTTTTTTAGGAATACATTAATTGTGTGACTATAAGAATTAAGTTTTTTTTTTTTTTAAAGTTCCCCCCCCCCCAAAGCTGTTTACTTATTCAGATTTGTACACGATTTTAATTGAGGAGTACGTAGGAAATGTATGTGCAAAATATTCATGTTGTTTATAAAGTTATAAGCTTATAATTTACGATACTTTGCTTTGTTACTTTCTTTAATAATATAAATGTCATCGTAATAAATGTAAGTTTCTGAAAATAGAGACTAAAGTAAGTAAATATACAAATTTAACTAGTAAAGGCTGTTTAAATTTAATTTTTTATGTACATAAATTATGAAAATGAATCAGTTCTTCATATTATATATATTATCACTTTTTACATATCATTTGTTTATATTTTTACTGCGCAAACATTGCGTGTGTTATGATTTATTTATATTTTTTTTCCTAAACTGAATATATTTATGCGTTTTAAGATGAGCACAAGGTGTAAAAGGCTTACATTAAACCATTATATGTTGAAACCAATCCAGAGGATACCACAGTATCGTCTGCTGCTGCAAGAATACCTTCATCATTTACCAGAAGATTATCCAGATTATCAAGATACTGTGACTGCTCTTCAGATAGTGAGCGAAGTAGCCAATCATGCAAATGAAAGCATGAAGCATGGTGTAAGTATTTTGCATAACAATTGAATTATGTGATGTCTTAAAAATTTCTTCTATCAATCAGTAGAAACCGAATGAATGTGTAATGATCCATTTTTTCCTAAATTTAGTTTCTTTTTCTTGCAGGGGCTAAATCATAATGGTGTTATTTAATACTCAATTATTAAATCCTATATTTTATTTTGTCAGTAAAATATAGGAAAGTTTTAAAGACATCTCTCATTAGAGATTCCAGATAAAAACTATAGATATGTTTCACATAAAAGTTTTATAATATATATAATTATTTAAAAAAAATTAGTTACCAAAACCATTGCCAGCTTAATGATATCTCGTGAATTTATCGAAACAGCCATTTACCTCAATGTTAAACAGACTTGCCCCTCTAACCTTATTTTTCCGGCAGAGCTTCGCTTTTTCAAGCATTTCATGATATACAAAAGCTATTACAATTTTACTAAAATTGTTTAAATATACACAAAATTCCTAACAATGTTTTATAGGTAACATTATATACTATGTAAGCTGAAAGAATTTTATATTATGATAAAAATGAATGTTAAATAATGATTTAAATCATCCTGGATGTAAAATTTTTAATGAGATCATATTGTTTATTTAAGGTACATACATAAAAAATAAATGGAATTTTAGATGATTATAACAGAAATGATTCCTGGTAATTAAATATTGAAGCCTTTCAGCCATCCAGTTTGACTTAAGTACCTGAAAAGAGTTTGCAAAATGGCTTAAAAAAATAAAAAGAAAATAAAATAAACAAGCAAATTTTGTATTTTTTATGCATGTGATTAAAAAACTTTAAAGTCCTAATTTTTATAAAATGGTTTGTATTGTAAAATGGTGTTAGGTAGCTAGTATGGTTATTGTTCATTGGTGCCAATTAGAGTAAATTTTATGTTATGTGTCAAATCATCCAAACTATACTTGCCTAAATTGGGATAGGTCATGATATTAACATTCTGCTTCAATTGTACTAAGAAGACCTTGTATCCTTACTTATTCATGGAGGCATAATTTTGTGTTTTGGTTCTCTTTGAAAATAAATATTTCATATGCTAACATAAACAGAATAAATAAAAAGTTCGAAAAATAAAATCCTTCATTGCATGTTTGTATTTAATTATTACCACATCTTGACAGAGAATTTTGGAGCAAATGGTTACATAACATAATTTTTTATTACATTTTTTGTTTAGTTTAGGTTTGGTAAAATTTTTAACTAATCATATAAGTACATTCATTAAAATGCATATTGTGGCATTTGCACAACTGGTAGAAAATGATAGCAAAATGTATGTTTTTAAATTAAAATCAAAGAATTGAAAGGCTAGATCTAAAAATTGTACTACACTTATAGCTGGCATTCTGTTTAGCTTTATAAAGATTTAAATAAAATACAAATTTATAATAACTTGGAAATTAATCAAATGGGATATTTGTGAAATAATTTGAAAACATGAAATAATGGATTGATATATCAACAGATAGCAAACAAAATCTTAGAACCAGTGAAATATTTCATTTATGAGTGTGATAATAAAAATTGTGTATTATTTTGCTGAGCATGAATATTTATTTGATCATATATGAAAAAAAACTGAAAACTAAACTCAGCGGCACAAACAGCCCTTAGACAGCCATGGCTGGCAGTGTACTGATATCTTGCTTTTTCTAGACCGTGGGCTCCGGGTTGCTTCTGCATCTTGCCTGGACATGTGGTCAGCCTATTGCAGTACTCCCCCCCCAATGTTTAATCCCCAAGCAAACTTGGTACTCATTTTATTGACCATTGACCTACTTATGAGATGAAAGGTTGAGTCAACCTTTTCCAGCCCTGGAATTTAACCCTGGATCTGTGGTGCTGCTGCACAACGTGCTAGCCACTGCGCTACCACGCCTGCTGATCGTATATATCTATATCTATATATATATATATGATAAGCATACTCAGCGATCATTCATATATATATGATCAGTGAACAGCGTATATATATATATATATATGTATATGATCAGCTTTGTGTCCGAAATCTGGACGTCATTATCCGAAATGATTTAAAATCCGGACCTCAAAACCATCAACAACGTTTTTTTCTCGTAGGCTTTATGCATGTGCATTTAATTCCCCCCTTCACGCATAATGAAACATCTTAATTCCATTTCAGCACTAAATAAAACACCTTGTTATTGAAGAAACAAATGTTTTAGCATAAATTTGTACAATCAGTAATTTGGCTCTATTGCTGCATGTCTGCTTGGCACACATCTCAAATGAAAACATTCCACATAGATACATAGTTGATCTGATGCCAGCCTAGCGAATTATTATATATTACGCTTTCCTTTCATCACGACATTTTATCAAAACATGAGAACTTGAGTAATGACTCATGCTTAAACATTTTTTTTATGTTAGTAATTGAATAATAAAGGAGTATGGTAACCTGTTATGTTGAAATTATGCTTGGCAATGATTACAGATTTAAGTTAAATGCACTAAAAAATGTTGACGAGGAAAAACTAACAAGAATTTCTTTCCATATGCTAAAAATAGAATTTGTTGATGATACTCATAGACCCAAAGATTACATTTAGGCCTATTTAAATTAAGAATAACTGATTTGTTATTCATATAAACCCAAAACCAGCGCCAGGGCTTGTATGGCTGCAAGGAGTTGCAGAATTTAGGACCCACAGAGACTGCATCAGGCAGTAAGATATCTGGCACATCTAAGAGCATATTACTCAGAGGGGAAGAATATTATGAAAAAAATTTGGATTTTTTAATACTTATCTCTTATTCACCCAAAGATGTGCGAATGTGTATTTTAATATTTTTGCTCTTTACAAAAGTAATTCAAATCTGACAGTTTTTGAATGCAGTGTAGCATAATAAACATAATCAACAAGTCATATAATAAGCCATATTGATTCCTAATAATTAAGAAAATGCAGACATTGAGAGAATTTAAAAAGAAACTTTCAACAGCTTTTTTTGCATTTTGTGTATTAAAAATTAAATAAAATAACACATTTTAAAATCTAGATATGTAATTTAGATGTTGCACATTCTAACACTATTGTTATTAGAAAAAACAGCCTTTATAGTTACCATTCTTGTAAATAATTAGGTGTGCCAAATGTAATTTTGGTGTGTAATGGGTTAATTCCGTTTAGAAAGGAAGGAGTCATATGTTAAGAATTGTAAAGTGAAACATTATGCAAGCAACTTAAAAAACAACAAAATTCATGTAGTGTTATTAATATTCTACAGTGAATGGGGTTTGCTTATTTTTAGTCTTCCTTATTAAATAATGAAGAAATTTTAGGTATATTTTTCCCATTGCAGAAAAATAGCGATGCCTAGAGCCCCCAAGTTTTGAATACATGTAGTGTTCCAGCAGAATATATGCACGTCAAAGTCCGAATTTTGAATTTGTTTCAGATTATTTTATATTTGTGTGAATTTATTGAATTCTTTGTGAAAAAATTCAGCTGTTAAAAAGCTGTGTGTTGCGAAAGATATTTGTTTCAAATTTAATCAGAAAACTCAGTGATTTTTTTTTTTTTTTAAGTGTAGCCCTTCATAAAGTGTAAGGTATTTGTCTTTTAAATTTAATAAAGGAACTCAGTGATTTAAAAAGAAATCTCTTTTGACTACAGTATTTTTTCTTCCATGCATGACTTTATTGGCATATATAAGTAAGATTTTTAATTTTTCTTTCAGATTTAATCTTTTAATCTAGCTATTATATATATATATATAATTGAAAAATTTATTTTTAGGATAATGCTCAGAAATTAATTTCTATACAGAATAGTATTATGGGGCACAAAGAGATTATTAAACCTGGAAGAGTGAGTACATTACTTCATATATATATATATATATATATAAAATTAGCATGAAATAAAATTTATATGAAAGCAAATTTTTTGAGGCAGCATAATTGTGGAAATCATATACCAAACCAGTGTTCTGCAATAAGTAATTCAAAGTTATATTGCTTAGCAATTATGTATACTTTCTAGTACATGCATCTATTAAATGTGTTCTGTCATTTAAAATAATAACAAATTGTATACATAATTATTCCTTAATATATGTAAATAAAATCTGGGCTAAAAGCTTGTGCTTTTGTTCATATAACATTTTTGTATAATTTTAGCTGTACAACAAATTGTTAATTAGATTGAATATATTAAAAAGCTGTCATCTATTTTCTTTTAAATCGTATTTCAGTTATTTATTAAAGAAGGAGAACTGATGAAGCTGTCTAGGAAAGGAATGCAGCCAAGATGGTTTGTTTTAGTAAGTTATTTGTTGATTTAATCAATGAAATAAAACCAGAATAGAAAGCATTGAAAACTAGCAAAATTTTAAGTAGAATTCTCTGTGGGTAATGGTTAATGTCAAAGTATAAAAATACGAAATGCAAACAAAAATTGGATAATTAAAACACAATAACACGCCGAATAAATACTATTTCAGAAGTCAAACAACAAAAATCAGCATTTGAAAATATAACGCTGCTTTTGTTGTTTGACTTCTGAATTAAAAATTGGATAATATAAAAATATACATTAATAAAAAAAATTCCATTAATAAATCCCTGTTTGAAATTTTTATGCCATTGTTTGCAAAAACATATAAATTGTTTTTTTCTCAAGCTTCCCTGTCATCTTTCAAGTATGCTTCAACAGTGTCTTGAAAGATTTGCCTTCCAGTGGCTAAATGATAGGTAACTGAACTCTGTTAGCTCATCCTGGGTTCATATCCCTGTAAATAAAATTGTCTTCATGTGTAATGTAAATATCAGCAAGTTTTGCCTAGAAAGCCCTTTACAAATGCTTTCCTAAGGCAGATAACTCCCATGTTTTTCCATAATTTGTTAAGCAGTCACCTTTGAAAGCTTCAGTGAAAGGAATTAAGCACTAGTAATGAAAAACTTAATGCCACTACTAAAATCATTGTGGTCTTTCATTACTAAGCCATTCCCTTTGTAAAATACTTCCATTAGTTTGCTGCATTATATGAAATTAATTCTAAGATTTCAGATTCTTTTGATGAGCGTAAAGTTTTCAAGAAGGCTGTTATTATATATTTTTAAAATATAAGCATTAAAACAAAAGTTATATTTAAAGATATTTAAAGGAATAGTTTTTAAACTTTGCTCGTTAAATTATTTAAATACATTTGTGAAAGGAATGGTAATCTAAAGTATGATTATTTAAAGACAGAAAAGAAACATGCTTCAAATAAATTATAAAAGTGAAGCAACAGCCCGTGTTAGGCATAGATTTTTAGCACAGAAACTCTATTGATTTTGAGGGCGAACAAAGTCCCTCTTCATCAGGAGCAAAGAAATCGGCAACTGAAAAGCAAGTTATGAACGTATTTATACCCTAAGGAAGTCAAATTCTGCTAACAGATGGCGCTAATGTCTCTTCTCTCATGACTTCATTAGGCTATAAATATGTTCATATAACTTGGTTTTTGAAGTAGCATCTAGCCCTAGTGTGGTTTATGCTTCACATATGCGCAATGACAAGCGTCGTTGGCATTATTGTCTGGCATCCGTTATACAGAATTGACGATGTATCATGAGATTGGTAACTAAAGACAAGTTATTATTCCACTAAATTTTATGACGTTGCAGAAGTTATGCCTGAATAAGAAGCTTGAAGCATTGAAGAAGTTAAGCTGTTACTGATTTCTTATATTTAACGTGGTTTGTATGAAAGGTAATTCTGTATGTTTGGAATGTTCAAAGACCTATTTTCGATTACCTTTTGGATTACCACTAAGCTAAGATATTGTAATCAAGAATTCAAAAAGAAAGAACCAAAGTAGTGTTATTTTGCTGAATGTTTGTTAAAAGATGAACTTTTATGATAACTCTAAATATGAAATAAAAAACAAATTTGTAAAATTAGGTTAAATTAATTGATTATATTAAGCTGTCAAGAATTATTTGCCTAGGATGAGACATGCCTTTGTGGAAAGCATGAATTTGAAAAGAAATTTTATGATAACACTAAATATAAGATGAAGTATGAAACAAAAATACATTTGTAAATAATTGTAAAATATGGTTAATTGATTATTGCATGTTACAAAAACCTACAGCATTAATTTAAGCAGTTCCTAAACATCAACATGAGTGAAAAAAGAATAAAGATTATTTCCCCATACACATTTTATCCATACACATACAGCACTTCACTTTTGCATCGCGAAAGTCTCAATTGTGAATTCATCGCCAAGCCAAACATACATAGATCTTCTGTGGCCAAGCAACGAAGGTTACCATGCTGAAAATATGCCTGTTGCGCATACGTGAACATAAACCATGCTAAGGCTAGACGCTACTGTTTTTCAGTTGCAGATTTTTTTGCTTCTGATGAAGAGGGACTTTGTTCGCCCTCGAAATGGATAGAATTTCTATGCTAAAATCTATGCGTAACACACGTTGTTGTTTCACTTTTATGATTATTTATCTTAAATTTGTTATCAAGCTACTCTGTTGAAGATAAAGTTATGAAATTTCTTTTCAAAGTTTCAAATTTTTTAAGATATTTTGGAATAATTGCCTTCTTGTTTTAGTATTTTACAAAATTAAAAAAAAAAAAAAAAAAAGTGCAAAATATTTGTGAAACATGTTACTGTAGGTGGCTGTCAGGTAAAGAGAAGTACTTTTGCTTAGAATTTTAAGATTCTCCTCACTGTAAGATTTGTAATTTATTAAAGAGGGGTATAAATAATGAATTATTAATTTTTACAACATTATGTAATTTAAGTGTCTGAGGATCTTTTTGGATAAAAATTGTAAAATTACCTTGGCATTTTGTGCCTGAATATTTTCCCTCATGATGAACTTATGATGATGATGCCTTATGTTCTTCAGTACATTTCAAGATGCACATACATATACTTCCATTGGCATTGGCCAATGAGGCAAATATTGTTGAATATCTGTATGTGTTTTGGATGGTTAATCTATGAATTTCACTTCAGAAATATCTTTATCTTTTTCAGCAATAAAGAAAATTATTTAAATAAACTTTATATTGTTATTTTTCATTTCAAGCTATTTGTCATGTCTAATGCTCAGTTTTTGCAGTCTCATAAAATAGATACCATAATGCTAATTACTATAATATTTTCAAATATTACAGTAATCAGTATATGGAGTCATTCTTCTTTACAGGTAAAATTTTTCATCTCATTAAATTAAAAATATTTTCAGCATTTCATAAACTTAATGTATGGTAATTTCATTTTTTAGTTTAATGATTTGCTGTTATATCTAACTCCTGTGCAACAAGGTCTATATAGAATTAATCATGAACTACCTCTTACGGGCATGAAAGTTGCAATCCCTATTCAACAAGACTACCAAAATGAATTCAGCATTATCTCAGTCACTCGTTCCTTCACGCTAGCAGCAAGGTATTTTCTTTAATTAATTAGTTTGGCCCAGTAAATAATGTTTGATGTTTCAATGTTTACTTAGAAAGCAATTATTTTTTTATGTTGCTAGTTTCCCTTTTCTGCCTTTTTTTTGGAAGCATTTATATATATATATATATTTTTTTTTTTTTTTTAAATACAGTCAAAAGTCGTTAATTCGGACACCCATAATCCGAAATGATCTATAATCTGGACCTCAAAGCTACAAACTTTATGCGTATGCACCAAGGCGTAAGACCTTTACAGCTTCGAATATGCGTGTGCACATGTGCATAATAGCATAATACGTTTACGCTTGCGCGTTTAATGTATAATAGATGGTATAAGCTAAGCTAAAATTATCTAATTCAGTTAATGTTGCAGATTGTATTGTTCCTTAATCTTCGAATTGGATCCGGTTTATTATTTTTTGCCGACTGTTAGAGCAGTTTTATAAAAGTAAGCTTGAACTTTCGATTATGTCAAATAGAATTTCCGATATATACATATCTTTAGTAATATGTAAAGGATCTGCAAAGCGAAAAGCATGTTTCGAATGTTCATCAAACAAAAGTGGAATTGCTACAAAAAATAGATAAAGGCATATTCTTTGTTTATTCTAACCATTCCGAAAATTTGTGTATCAATTTCACGCTGCTCTGCCATGGGGTGGGGGAGAACGTCGCGGCGCACAATAAACTGGAAGGTGATTTGTCAGCACTATCCCTTATCTTCAGGGCAATATGTTTTTATTTTATTTGGCTTATAATTCCTTACTAATTGCAGTATTTCATCTTCGAATGTACTTCCGCCTTCGATATGATTTAAATCAAATTCCTCGTCATTATAATTCGCTTCCGATAAAGAAGAAAGTAACACAGAGGTTATTGAAAATGAAAGAACTTACATTGAAAGAAATGTTTAATAAAATAAACAAATATTAAGCCTTTTTTTTTTTTATTTTGATACCCTTTAGATCATAATTGTTCTTTATTTCATAAATTATGGTTTCATAGTTTTAATTTTATAATTTTGCATGCCATCTTACCAGATTTAAACTGATGATCTATAAACCGGAAAAATCGATAATCCGGAATCGCCGAAGTCCCGACGAGTCCGGATTAACAACTTTTGACTGTATAGTTTTTTTTAAACCCTTTCAGAATGGGCATCCCATGAATGCATTCCCTAAGAATGTCTCTTACAGCCGGGCGTCCCATCCATGCATCACTAGAGATTGCATTTAGAGGACGGTTGATGCATATATACATTCCACTAGATGGCATCCTATGTCCATTACTTTTGAAATGAACACAGTTTTAGTTCCTGACCTTGAGTTTGATATATTCTGCTTGACTTTGGTATTTTACTCATCAACTGTTGTGAGGGTGGGGGGGAGCATAAACAGAGGTGGGCTCTTTAAATTGCCACGGGCTAATTCGCATGTCTGATTTATATCCAATTCCTTTTTTTTATTCTATTTTTTCCCTCTACTATGTACAGCCTTTTAGGGTTACTATGTGGAGTTCTCTTACATTTTGCACTGCCTTCAGATACATTTCTGTTTCTTCTCTTTTTATTTCGAAAAGCTTCACCTCCAATCTATTATGGCGGGAAGGCACTATTTATCAGAGGAAGAATACGCTCGTATGGTTAATGAACCATTTACTAATGCAGATGAGAGTGATGATTCATTTTCTAAAGAGTTAGAAAGTGATACTTCTCCGTGATTCGAGATTTACTACACTCAGTCTTCATTTTAAATTTTGTTACTTCTTACTGTAAATAGTCTTTATTGTGTTGTTTTATTAATTTTAAACTTTATTGATAGATTTTATCAATTAAAACTTTGGAACAATTTGAATAGCACTTCCGAAAATTATTTTACAAGATAAGCAATTTTTTTAAGTATATTTTCATGTCAAATAAAGAAGAAAATGTTATTAAGGGCTAATTTTAACATATATAAGAGCTCAAGTAATAATCTAAAATGATACCAAAAATTACAATACTAGAGTTGAAACTTTTTTTTTTTTTTTTTTAATAAATTAAGCTTAGCGATGCAACCCCCCCCCCATCCTGTATGGTGACTGCCTCCGATTCCCTTCCGTCCCGCATGAACGTTTTAAACAAATGTGCACTGTTGTGAAAGGTTTAAGGCAAATATTTTGGAATAAAACTTTATAGCTTATTATTTGAAATGAGAAATATTTTCTGCTAATTTTAAATTTATTATTTTTTCAAAATGTTGCAAGGGAGGAAGCTGTGGATTGAAGAATATGTTCTTGTGCATTCCAAATAGAAATATTCCTATTCCATAATTCAAAAACATTGTAATGTTGCTAAATAAGCAACATTATTAATCAAAAAGGAAAAAACCGTCAGTCCTGACTTCTGCATGGAAAGAAGTCATGACTGACGAATACCTGAGAAAGGTGCATATTGTTTCTAATGTTTCTAGAGTTAAATTGTTTGTAACAAGAGGAAACTCTGCGGATGCAGAAATCAGGTGCAAGTCTTTAAGTACATTTGCAGCAACAATAATTAAGTTAATAAATCAAGATTGACAGCTTACATTGTGACTCTTGCTGAAGCATGGGCTTATTGCTGAAAAAAAAAAAAAAAAAAGTCTACTTATTCTCGGAAACAAAAAGAAAATGTACAGGCCTGGTTCTAGTAATACAAAAAAAAAAAAAAAAAAGTTTCAGTAAGGAGTTAATGATTGTCGCAGTCTTTTACAGTGAGTTATTAAAAATAAGAAGAGTGAAAAAAGCATTAAAATCGACTGAGTGTATTATCAAGAGAAACGTTTTACATCTGATATTTGTGGAAGAAACTTTATTTCTGTATCCCAGCAACTTTCTGATAGTGAAACTTCATTAAAACAAAGTAACAAGTCTTTCTTCAAAAAGTACCACTACATTTCTTGAAAAAATTAAGACTGACGCAGGTATTAAATATATACCTTTTTAATGTATTCCTGTGGTGAAGTCCTCTGACATTTACCTATGGACTGTTGTGCCTTTGGTCTCTTGAAAATAGCTAAGTGCACACCCACCATAGTAGATGGACTCTGAAAAGTAGTGGAAGAGGAATAGTTATCAGCACCCTGGAAATTTTATGAAAAGCTCTTCTAACATGGAAATCATGATGCATTCTTCTGGTCCAGAATAAAGGCTACCAGGTTAAACATTTTAAAAAAAGTACTCTTTTACATTTTAAACATCAATTAAACAACCTTGAAATCATTCTAAAAATGTATATATACCCTTTGTACAAGCATTTTTACTTTGGAAAATCCTCCAAACCCTTTCTTTAGGCAGTTTACCCATTTGTGCTTTGTTGTGTTCAAACAAACAAACATATTTAGTGATAGAAATAAACAATTTGTTTTTGGTGATTTCTGTTTTCTAGCCTTTTAAAATCAGAAGTCCTGAACATCACATGCATCAGTAAATTTGTAGCAATGGTTAATATTGATAACAAGTGCACTGGAGTGTATTGTTCTAGACTTGGCAGCACTAACTTTCTCCTTGGAGTATGAAATTAAATCATTATTTTTAGAAGTATTTTCAAGAGAGTTGCTAGTTTTTTCTAGAAAAATTAGGTATAGGATATTAGTAAGATTTTGTAATTTGATGCGGATAATAACAAAAAATTATGATAATTTGAAAAGTCCTCCACAAATTGTATTGAATTAGGCTTTTCTATATTCATTCATTACTTGTTTTGTTATTGGTATTTTTTGGACAAAAGTAATAACCATTTGGAAGCTGTAGCATGTATTTTGTAAGTATGCATCCACAAAGAGGGAAATTTTATTTAAATCCTTAAGTTTGTTAATAGTTGCTTGTGAGAAGAATATTGATTTATGTGTTTTCATTTTATATTATCTGTTGTGACATCATTTAATTAAAAAGTGGTGAAGTTCACTGTGGTGACACAGCTAAATTTTGGGAATACCAGTAAATTCATGCTAAACTTAATTCCTAGGTTTAATTTGGGCTGTGCTATGAAGTTTTCATGATTTTCTCCACATGTAACATAAATACGAACCATTTTCTTGTGTAAAGTCCTGCATGAAGGATTCCTTCAGTTTGGCAGAAAGTCAGGTTCTATTTGAAAATTACAAAATTTTAATTTAAGCAATAGAAGCTAAAATTCAAGAAATTTAAAACACTTATTGTAGTGATTATTTCAGCAATCATGCATATATAATACTTTTTTACCTGATACTTTAAATAAATACTAGTTTTATAAAAATGCGTTATACAAAGCAATGTATAATATTTCTACCATTTTGCTGGCTATATTTGGCTTATTATTTTATAGGTCTCAGGAAGAGAGACAAGAATGGATTATAGCTTTGACCAAAGCTATAGAAGAGAATGCTTCCAAGCGAAGCACATTCACCAATATTAGACTACAAAAAAAGGTATACATATTAGAATATAACAGGTTTTAAATATGTCACATGTTATTAAATCAGTATGGTTGTATATTTATAATAGAAAGAAAGTTTTTACTTCTGTAAATATAAAATTATATCTGCCTACAATTGTGAAGTAAAGTATTTTAATATTTTTATTAATTGAATTAATACTCATATGTTTTTAAGAATTAAAAAAATGATAATCTACTAAATAAAAATTATGTATTTTATTATATACACTCACTTCCAAAAGTTTAGCATGAAGATGTAAAATGCAAAAAAATCAACAAATACTGCTTTGAATGACACAAAATTCGGCAGGAAAGTAGTAGCATATATATTTATGCGTTAAAACAAAAATCAATAATTATATACAGAAATGAAAACAATATTAAACTTTTGTAATGTATCAGATAATGACATACAAGAGACTTAAACAGAATTATGTATAAAGTGAAAATAAACAGCATAAAATGAAAAAAAAAGGACATTAGTAAGGTATGTGATCCCCCTATAATTTAGGGGGGATCATATACCCTATTAATTAGGACCCTATTAATAATAGGGTATGTGATAGGGTGATAGGGTATTTAATTATTACCCTATTAATTAGGACATTAATAGGGTATGTGTATACAAAGTTTACACCTTGTGACCATGCTTTCAATTAGGTAGTCAACCACCGCAGAATTAAGCAATCACCATTCTTCTTCTAGAGCAGTTTCCAGCTCAATAAGAGTGGCTAGAGGTGTGAAACATGAAGATACAGCACGGTCGAGAGCATCCCAAAGATTTTCAATGGGATTAAGGTCGGGAGAATATGCTGGCCACGCCATACGCGCAATCCCTTCACTCTCCGGGTAGTCATCGAAGATGTCAGCTCTATGGGGATGTGCATTATCGTCCATTAAAACAAAAGTAGGGCCAACTGCTGCAGCGTACAATCTCACAATGGGTTCTAGGACTTCATCTCGATACCGGGCAGCCGTCAAAGAACCCCATTTAAAGATGTGCAGGTCGGTGCGGTATCCTAATAAAATCCCTGCCCACACCATAATGCTTCCACCTTGGAATCCGTGATGTTTTGGGACTGATTGCATGTTTGTTGTTTATGCCATATCCTTATACTCTTGTCATCTGGCTCCAGAGAAAATCTTGACTCATCAGTAAACATGACATTGCCCCAGTCAGACACATTCCAATAGACATGTTCCCGGCACCACTGTAATCGTGCCCCTCTTGATTGGTTCGATAGAGGAACACAAACTCGAGGTACCCGGGCGTACAGTTCACTCATATGTAATCTTGGCTTACAGTAGCTGCAGATATTGCCTTACCAATGGACATTGTAACCATAGATATCACACGTGTGGAGGTCGCTCTGCAATTCCGCTTGACTATAATAGCAATATATCAATCTTCCACGGAAGGGGGGTATAACCATTGGATGACTGGCTGCGGGCCTTCGGAGAACTGTCTATGTGGTTTGGAATTGTTTCCATAAAGATGAAATTACAGAAGGATGAACGCCGAAGAAAGGGTAACATCTATGATCGACTGTCCTGCTTAATGCGCCCCCACAGCATGCCAGCGCTTAGAATCTTTCATTCGTCTTCTGGAAGTCATAGAAACATGTATGTCTTGAAAACAAATTGTACGAAAGTTTTAAACACCTTCTATCACCTATCTATCCGCACTCACAATCAACTTCTGTAACCCTTCATAAAACTGGCTTCTTATAAGACTGCCTTTTTTGCATATTTCTGATATGAAAGCACAATTAGCTGTTACCTAACATATTTGCATACTTCCATCTACCTCTGCAGCAAATTGCATCCTCTTCAATTCTGATTGGCTTCTGGAAATTAGCATTTTCTTGTCCGTGCTTAACTTTTGGAAGTGAGTGTATATTTATGTATGTAAATTAAAATTATTTTATTTTGAGAAAGAATTGCTTATTCTGATTAATTTAAAATAGAAAATGATATTTTTTAAAAAACTTCATGCTGTTTACATTATTAAAATTTTAGTAATAAATGTATTTTCTCTCGAGACTTTGTTTAATCTATCTAAAGGCAATTTTTTTTTTTTGTTTTGTTTTTTGTGTGTGTGTGTGTGTGTGTAAAATTATTAAGAATTATTTGGAAGAATTATTATTATCAAGTTAATTATCAAGAACTTGAATGAAAATAAAATGTTTAAATACAGCAGCATTTTAAAGTGTCTAATAACTATTTATTGTAAACAGTTAAATTTATGAAAATGTTAAGGAAAAGAAATTTGATTTAATATAAGAGATACATGAGATAAATGGAAATGTAAAAAGTTGTTCCAAAAGTCAACCAGATATAATTCAGAAAATTTTTATGAAGTGCACTGAAAAAGTGGATAATGAGCTATTATTTTCTTAATAAAAATAAGCCAGTTTAAACCAATAAAGAGGGGATCTGTGTATTTCAAATGTTCAAAATAATAAGATCAAAATTAAAATAAATATATATTAATGAATGTTTTGTTTTTCTATTAGCCTTTCAAGATAATTTGTTTATTTTATTTAACCAATGGATATATTTTCTAATTCCTTTGGACTTGTTATTTACTTTTATTTCCTCCATAATTCATATTTGCATATAATTATGAAGGGGATGTCATTTTGGGTAAAGAGAAGATAGTACTTTTCAAAGGCAAAAATTGCTTGTATCTCATTTTTATTATTTATCATACTATGATTTTAAATAGCTGAATAAGTTTTACTTGTTTATGAATGAATCAGCAGAATTTTGTAAATATGAAAATGCCCCTTCGGCATATGAATTGGAATAGTTTGTAAAAATTTGAAAAAAACAAATAGGTAAAAAATAAATAGTACGATTAACCATTTACAAGATTACATTTAATTTAACTGACAAATGTTTTCTCCTAAACTAATGTTCTTAGATCTAAAGCACTAAAGCAACTAACACTAAAACAAAAAATAGGCTTTTCCATCAGAAATATATGCTTATAAGAAATATAGGAGAAACAAAAATAAAAGTCAATAACAGTCCAAAGGAACTTGAAAGGAGGTGCATGTGATAAATGGCTAATCAAACAACAAAACATTTATTAATATATATTTCTTTTAATTTTGACCTTTAATGATTATTTTGAGCATCTGAAATATGTGGCTCCCCTTCCCCATTATTGGTTTAAATTTAATTTATTTTTATTATTTTTCTTAAAAGACAAAAATTATAATTTTAAAAATTCCTAAGCTAACTAACTACTTTTTTGTGAAATGTAACATTCCTAACTATTTTCTCATTCTTTTTGCTTGCAAGCATCTGAAGTACAAGACTAAACTCTGATTTCTACAAATTTTTAATTATGTAAATCCTGCTTTGCAACTTGTAGTCTTATAAAAGTGTCCAGTTTTTTTAATTGCTTTATATATTATTTTAGTTAAAAGCTATAACAACAACTGCCATGTCAGCATTTGCAGTATTTTTGAACAATCCAGAAACTTTGCAGCTGCACTTCAAGAAAGTGCAATTCAAGGATTTTTTTTTAATTATGCATTTTTTTTAACAGATCATTTTAAAGTGAAGCACATAATACTAGTTCAACAGCAATACAGTATATAGCATTCAAAACAGGCCAAAGAATGTTGTTATTATTATTGTTATGAAATTTGTATAATGTAACATAAAAGGTGTGAAGAGAATAGAGCTCTACTGGAAAAATAAGGTTGCAGGTACAAGTCTATTTAACATTGAGGTAAATGGTTATCTTGCTAAGTTGGCGAGATATCGCCAAGTTGGCAGTGGTTTGGGCAACTAATTTGTGTCACCATATTTGCCGAGAAATCACCGGAAGTCACCAAACTTGGTAACCATTTGGTGACATTTTAGTCTGGTTCCTGTATAACTGTAATTGATCCTTATATGTCACTGTAACTGTATTTGGCTCTTATATGTAACTTTAATCATATATGTGTTCCAGCAAATTTGGGAAATAGAAGGTACTAGAAGTTCCTTGGTGTCCCGGGGAAAACTATAAAAAATGAGAGATCAACAGTTCTCAGATTCGACTTTGGAATGTTGGGAGATCTCCATGTGATTTTCGCTCTTTACATGCACTTTGTATTGATTGCATTGTTGTTACCTTTCTTAGTAGTTTGAAACGCTAACTATTGATTGTGCTCTGTCATATCAAGGAGAGAGTACTTTCATGGGAATTCTTCAGAACCAAAATGTGTTTCTTTAGGGAAAATAAATTTTATCAATCTATCATATGTTCTGTGTGCATTCAATCCAATATGAACTCGTACACATGTAGCATTAGTTTTGAAATAATGAGTAGCTGAATTATGCATCTGTCAGTCTTTTGTAACTTGTTAGGGAAAAGTAGCATAAGATTACCACAAAATTTTCCTTTTCTTCCCATGATATGAGTTAGTATGATAATGCGGCTTTTAAAAAAATATTTAAAATGATTTTAAAATATATATTAAACTGTTAAGTTTTAAGATGGCAGATAAAGAAGAATGCAGTAATAGTGAAATAGAAAATTTTTCTAAATAATGAAGAATTATAGAATCATTGAGAAATTAATCTTTCTGGTATTTGGTTTCTTTTTTACATACAGTTATTTGTCTGATTTTTTTAAATAAAAAAAAAAAAAATAATAATAAAAAATGTAGATTGTACAATTTGCTTTATTTACATTATTAGCTGTCTGGGAAATGTGTTCTCAGAAGAAAATCATGATACACACAAATAAACTTTTTGTCTCTGCTTATTTTTTATGTCATTTTAATGTGGTTTGCTTTAAATTCATCTTAACAGTGTCATGTATTTTTTTTTAAACTGAAACAATTATGCTTTGAATGTGGGAAACTATTATCTCCCTTTAAATTATGTTAGTATGACTTATTTCACTTGTCTGGCAGTAACGGTAAATGCATGAATTTTAAATTGTGAGGAGTGTAGATCACATCTGTCATTGGCATGGCAGTAAAGACCTTATAGGTGATAAGTTATGAATTTGGGCTTTAGAACCAGTCTGTACTTCTTAGTTTTGTAAATAGAAATCGTACTTTTTGTTTCTCATACTGATAGTATAAAACATACTTTATATTTAAATAATTAAGATTATTTCAATTCAGAAGTCCGAACATTCACTTTCTTCGATTATTGTTCATCTTATTTTTGTAATAACTATCTTTGAAAATCAGTAATTGAACCATAGGATCAAAGATTTTGATATTTAGAAATGTTATTTTACAGTTTTGTGGTTTTTCAATATTCTAAATGGCAATTATGCTGGAGATATTGCTCAATCATATTTATCTAAAGCAGAAAATTTGTATTCTAAATTCTGATATATTCTACCCAGAAGCAAGATAAAACTTCAGATGATGATGAGGGAGCATTTGTGCTTGGCAAAAAAGCACCTGTTTGGATTCCAGATGCTCGAGTCACCATGTGCCAATTATGTACCAGTGAATTTACTGTTACTTTCCGCCGTCACCACTGCAGGGCATGTGGAAAGGTAGGGCATTAGTTTTATTCCATATTGCTATACTTACATGTCATGTTTTTTCATAAACTTCCAATGCTACCAAGAAAAATAAAAAACTATTTCTAAAACAAGTTTTATTAATTTTTTTGGCAGGTGGTATGTTCAATCTGTTCAAGCAATCGTATATCATTACCATATTTAGGCAATAGAATAGCCCGAGTTTGTGATGAATGTCATGCAAGGTTAGGTCCCGGTAAGTAATAGATTTGTTTTTATTAAACGTATTTTTTATATACTTTAACTGCTTTTCATTGATGATTTAGAGGGTTTTTTTTTTAAATCTGTAGTGACATTTATTTTATGTTGGCTATTATAATGTCTAACCATCACATAAACCAAATAGTCAATATTAAAAATTGGGAAACTTTTTCAGTTTAGGTTAGTTTTTATTTTAATTAAATGCTATATGAATGTAGGCAATGGCTTGGATTTTAATTGAATGCTATGAGTTTTGATAATTTAATACGGATTTCATCAAGATATAAATATTAACATGTAGAGAACAAATAAATATTTTATACATATACTTTTTTAATTCCGAAGACACATTTTAAAAGCCACAGTAAGCACTGCAGAGCTTATGCAAAGTTGCAAAGTTTTCTGTTCTCATTGATACATCAAGGCATTTCAATTTTAGTTATATGTAGTCAAAATTCCATTGTATTTTTATTACTTTTTAATAAATTTTGGAATGAACCCTTAAAAGAGAGCCTAATTTATATTACATAATTAAAAGTCACCTAATTTAAGAAATAGTGGAATTTCTAAAATGGGAGCTATATAATTACTGTAAATTTGTTTAATTTTATAATATTGCTATGATTTTGTCATTTTTAGTCTTTTTAACTCTTTCACATAAAAATCGCCCCAAACGCTCGAGCATTCAGACATCGGCAGGTCACCCGAACGCCTGAATAATTTCCTACCTAGTGCTTTACCCCATCACGTTGCTGCATTCCTCATTGCTTTCAGCAGTTGTTAAATGATGTGTCAATCATTCTTTTCAAGTGACTAAAAGTAGTTCTGTTATCTTTTTCCTTTGCTTACTGTCAGTGTTTAGCTATTGATGCCCAACGTTGCAATCTCGTCACAAGGGGGAACTTCACACAGGGTGAAAGCATCCAAGAAAGAAGTTGTCGCTTTACTTAAGTAGGTTATTGTTAGTGCTGTAGTATTCAATTTGTCGTGGGGGAAAGAAAAGCATTCCAACAGAAATTCGTATACACGGGTGTTTTCGATGTTTGAGAAAAAGAGATTTGGTTCTCTCTCGATGCAAAAGAATTAAAATTGTAGGGCAAGAATAAGGAAACAAATACAGTATATTTTCTTAATAATTTACATAAAAGTACTTTAATGTAAAAAAAAAAAAAAAAAAGTTACAAAGTTTGAGTTATATTTTTTGCCGCTTACAATTATTGTAAATTTATTGAAAATCTTCATTAGTATCAATACTATCAAATCAATTTTTTATCAAACTTTTTAAAGTTGTATGTATAGTTTGTATTTTAAAAGTTTTTTTTTTTTTATTTTGCTTCTTAAATTTTTTTATTAACAGTTAATTTTTTTAACTGTCATTTAAAAATGTTAGGTTCAAGTCCCTGTACTGAATCTGGAGAAACAGACAGTGAAAACCAACAGATAGCTGTGAAACCTCATCTTAGAACTGAACACAGACATGCGAAGAAAGGCAGAAGAAATTTACCTAGTGTCTTAAAAGAGGTGATATACTTAAGTTTCATTTCATTATTATTGTTATTTTTATGAGATTTATATATAATATATTTATTTTTAATTTCAATGTATATAATATATTTATTTTTAATTTCAATGCACTAGGTTTGTGCCAATGATCAGGGATCTACTATCAGTGGTTATTTACAGAAAAGAGTAGGGAAAAATTGGAAAAAAGATTGGTTTGTTGTGAAAGACAAAGTTCTGTATGAGTACAAAGCTAGTGAAGTAAGTATTATTTAAGGATTAAAAATTAAATTTTTATAATTTATTCCTAATAAAAAAAGTCTCTTCTGATTATTGTACCAGTACATTAATAAAAAAATAGGCTTAAATTGGCATTGAAAAACAGTCAATTAATAAACTAGATGATTCTTACTTAATAAAAATTACCGTATTTGATGGCATATAAGATGCACTTTTTTTCCTAAATTTGGTCTCAAAAAAGTTACCTGCGTCTTATACGTGAAGGACACAGGTTAACTTTCAATACTGAATGCTATTTTTAGCCCGGATAAAGGTCTAGACACACATAACTTTTTCTACATCTACATGTGTGTGGCCTTCTAAATAAAGGTGCGTCTTATATGCCAGTGCATCTTATATGCCGTCAAATACGGTATATTGTACAGATAATGATGACATGCAGAGACTATTAGCTGAAAAAGTTGATGTAATATTAAAAGAAATAAAAAAATACTTTGTAGAGACATTGGGTTATTTCAAAGAAGAAGACATGAAAAATGTGCAGTGCCCTCACCGGGACTCGAACCACGAACCTCTCAAATACACGCCGAGTGTGCGGTTGATTACACCACAAAGGCATGTTAAGAAGGCGGGAGAAATACCTTATATACTCCCCCCTTTAAAGGCTGATTGGAGATTAGGGGACCGAATCATCAAATTCTGATAGTGGAGAATCATAATTCACCACCATTTTTTGTTTGGGCGCCACTGTAGAGACATTAGGCTATTTTGAAGCAAGAGACATGAAAAATGTGCAGTGCCCTCACCAGGACTCGAACCATGGATCTCTCAAATACGCACCGAGTGTGCTGAAAATTACACCATGAAGGCATGCTAAGAAGGCGAGAGAAATACCATATAACTTCAAGTAAATATAATTATTTGTTTGAACAAATTAGCACTTATGATTTTCTGCTTATACCCATAGTGCAGTTGCTTTTATTATCCATAAAGATGACGTCATTAGAAGTGTTCGTCATCTTTTTATGTACAAACATAATTGGGAGTTTTCCACTTCAAAAAGTATATTAATTGTGGGAAGGGTCTTAAGAAATTTCTTTGCATTACAGTGGAGAATATGCATAGATAACCTAGGTAGTAAGGTAAATTAATATTAATAAAAAAATTGGAGGTAGCACTTTGTAATTTCATAGGTTATAAAATGGAGGTACAGTGTACTTAAATGGAGGTGCATTCTAAAAAAATGAAGTGTTTGAATGAAAAGCCTTAAAATGGAGCTGTCTTAACACATCATAAATAACAGTGGTTTTCAACCCCCTTTCCCCCCCATGCATCACTTTCATCATTACTAGAAGATCATCCCCCCTTCTTTCCAAAACGTTATATATATATATATATATGAATTTATTTAGATTATTTTTTAGTGTGTTTTATAAGTTAAGCAACAAAAAATATAGAAAATGTTGCTAAATACCAAACCTTAAATAATAGTTTTTTTTTTTTTATTTATAAAAACTAAAACTAAATACATTGCTGGCCACCCAAATTGCAACGCCAAGAAAGACAAGAGATATCACAACAAAATTTATTTAGTAGATAACATGTTGACCAAGTATCAAATGATTAAATTTATAGACTTCTGTGAAGTGTGGTTCTTTCCAGAATCAGTAGCCAGAGTAGTCACCATTGTTGGAGATCACCGCTGCCACATGCCTCGGCATTGATTCAAAGAGACTTTGGATGTGTTCTTGGCGTCCAACAGACCAAGCAGCTTCCACACATTGCCAAAGTTGATCTGGTGTGGCAGCTTGGGATATAATCTGGGTCAGTCGTTCAGCAGCCATGGACCACATGTTTTCTATCGGTGAAAGATCCGAAGAGCGAGCCGGCCAGGGAAGCAATTCAATCTGGCGATTGACGAAGAACCCTTGGACAATGCTGCCACGTGTGGTCACGCATTATCTGTTGAAATAAGGCTGTGGGCAAGCCCTGAAGGTAAGGAAGGACAACTGGCTCCAACACCTCGGAGATGTAGTGCTAGCTGTTTAAAGTACCGGCAATGCGTATTAGAGGAGTGCGAGAGTGATATTCAATATCGCCCCATACCATAATACCCGGTGCAGTACCAGTGTGGTGGTGCATAATGCAGCTTGTTCAGCATTCTCTCTCCACAGTGTCTCCAGACTCGAATCCGACCAACGTGGTGTTGCAGACAGAAGCGTGACTCGTCAGTAAAGACAATTTCATTCCATTCTGCCGTCCACATCCTTCTTTCATCGCACCATTGGCGGCGGAGACGTCTGTGGTTCTGCATCAAGGCTAGACAAAGCAATGGATGTCTTGCTGTAAAGGGCTGCGAATGGTACGCGCAGACACTGGATGATGCGTTATAGACTGAATGTGCTGTGCTATGGTTCGTGATGTGACTGAGTGATCCGTCACTGCCATGCGCACAATGTTCCTGTCATCACGTGAAGTGATGACTGAGGTGGATGTGATCAAACACGTCGGTGTGTCGTACCTGTTGGCAGTGGCGATAAAGGCAAAGCATATTTTGCTTCCCTTAAACAAAAGCTAAGACTTAATCTAAATAAAATTCATGCTTTATTCTGTAAATTAAAATAAAATAAGCTAACACTGTAGCCTTTACATTTAAAATCATTTGAGTGAATGAAAACTAGCATTATGTTAACTCATAATAACACACATTCGCCGATAATGGCGTTCATATATATAATACTCGGGCCAACCCGCTGATCTTGACGTCATCGGCCAATCAGCGGCAACCACATTAGCTTGCCGATTGACATCCGATCAAAATTTCCATAAGGAAAAACTAAAGCCAACAAACGGCCCTCTTTTCCTCATGCAAATACAAAAACAAAACTTGCACAGAATTTCAGAAGTTCATAGTTCAATTCTATTATACGAAAACACCTATTGTCTTTAAACACTGAAAACATCTAAACAAAACTTCCTTAAATTAACAGCAGTCGCCGCTTTTGTAAATAAGTCAACAGTATTTAATTTGCTGGTGATAAATTCAAGGTCAAACCCTCCATCATTTACTATTATAATAAAGTGATATTTTATGTCTATGTGCTTAGTTCAGGAATTTTCTATTGGTGATCTAGAAAAATCAATGGCAGACTTGTTATTACAAATTAGTTTACATTCTCTTAAATTTAAAATTTCATCTTGTAAGACATTTTTCGTCCACATTAATTCCTTTGCTGCCTCTGATAAGGTGATATACTCCTCTTCCATGGCTGATAAACTTACACATTTTTGTTTAACAGTTTTCCAGATTACCAGTACTTCATCTAAATGTAATATAAATCCTCCCATGGACACACGGCCATCCCTAATACTTGCATAATCAGCATCTGAATAACAAAATAAATTTAAATGTTTAATCTTCGATAAATTTATATAATTTAGTAGAGACCAAGCAATTTCAACAATGCTTCCCAATGCCTAATTCCAGGATTCTCCTGAAATTGTGATAAGATATTCACTGCATATGTAATATCAGGCCTTGTCCTGTTAGCTACAAAAACTAAACATCCCAACAGATTTCTAAAAGGTAATGTATGCATTTCTGCACTTGTAGATGGACAATCTAATTTTGTAAGAATAGTGCCTTTAGCTATGGAAAGTGAAGTTATTGGTATCTGGAAATGTTTAAATTTTTCAAAAATTTCTTTGATATATTTTTGCTGATTTATAAAAATCCCATTCTTGTTCTCTAAGAATTCAATTCCAAGTAACATTTTAGTTTTGCCTAATACTTTAAGATCAAAAAGCTTACTCAGCTGTGAAATTACTTTATCTATACTATATTGATCTTTACTAAAAATCACAATATCATCTACATATAACAAGAGAATTACATTTGAACTCTTATAAACACAATTACACCATTGTATTTTAAAATGTAGATTTTCTAAAGTACTTTCAAATTCACAAAACCATCACGGCCACTTTGATGTTGATCGTAAATGGCCTTGTGTAATAAACACACTTTATTTTTCTTTTCAATTAAATCCCTCTGGTTGGGTCATATATATTTTCTCATTTAGGTTTGCATATAAGTATGTGTTCTTTATATCTAACTGACAATTAATCCATCCATATAAACATACCAGAATAGTGAAAAATATTCTTATGGTTGAGAAATTTACTACAGGGCTGTAAATGTCATCAAAATCTTACCTCTTTTCTGCCTGAATCTCTGTGCTACTAAACGTGCTTTGTATCTAACCACTTGATTCTTTTCATTTCTTTTTATAGACCCATTTGTTTCTTAGCATAGTTTTATTTTCTGGCTTTTCGACTTATTCCCAAACCTTTCTTTTTTCATTGTGTCAATGTCTTCTTTCATTGCCTTATCCCATTCTTCTGCATTTACTGATTTTCATGCTTCTTTAAAATTTTGTGGGATAACAATTTCTATGGAATTTTCCTCTTTAGACACAACTAGTCTCCTGTTCTACAAAATTAACTTTCCCTAAGTATTCGTTTTTTCCACTAAAATCAAACTTATCTTTTTCAAATTTAATATTTCTTGCCTTACAATACTTTTCAATATCATTATAGGATCTAAAACGGGTGTCTGCTCCCTCTACATAATAATATATGTCTATACATGTTCTGTCTGGCCTTTTAACATCTTTTCTTTGCCAGTTTAAGTCTGATACTTCTTTCGGGGTAGATTTGTCATCTGACAACTTTATTTCTTCTCTAGAAGTTTCCTGTTCTTCATCTGATTCTGCTTATAGCTCAGATTCCTCTAGTCTTTTAAACTTAGTTTTTAATTTTTGTTTCAGGATGCCATTTGCTGCATTCAGTTTTTCATCGAACTTCACATTACAAGTTTCTATTAATTTGCGTTCTTCTGGTAGCCATATCATATAACACCTAGTTTCCTTCGCATATCCTACCATGATTCCTTCTTTGCACCTCATTTGTAATTTATTTCTAATCTGTTTTGGCATGCCGACATAGGCTTTACAACCAAATATTTTAAAATAAACAACACTGGGTTTTCTATTTAGGAACATTTCATAAGGTGTTTGGTTGCTTTTATGACATACTCTGTGCCACGTATGTACGAAACAGCCAAGAGCTTCTGCCCCCCCATTTGACCATCATTAAGCATAGCTTTAACTGCATCTAATGCCATTTGGTTAAAACGTTCACACACACCGTTCTCTTCTGGGGTGTATGCGTTTGTGCGTTCAACACTAATTCCATTTTCGGCTAAGTACCCTTTGAATTGCCGGTACAGAATTCCCCACCGTTAAAGGTGCGTATACTTATTAATTTTCTATTTGACAGTCTTTTAATTTGCCTATGATAATTCTTAAAGTTGTAGAACGATTCATTTTTATTTTTCATACAGTACACTGTTACTAATCTACTATAGACATCCACAATAGCAAGGAAATATTTACTCCCACCCTTAGATGGACTGGTAATGGGCTACAAACGTCTAAATAAACCAACTGCAATGGTTTATCCGATCTCTTCAGAGCAATTTTAAAAGTTATTCTACTAGATTTAGCAATAATACACGGTTCACACCTCTCCATTGGTTTTTCAATTTCTGGTAACCCTTTCACGCTTTGATTCGTACTAGTATTCTTAATGTAATCAAAATTTACATGGCTCCGATGCCATAGCATCGCATCGTCTACTTTATTTAACTTTCCAGTTTCTGTACCGTAACCAGCTTCCTTTTTATGTTGCATATCTAAATGGTTTTACGTGATAAAGTCCTTCATATTGTATAGTGTAGCATAATCTATCCCAATTATTAAAGTATATCCACATCTTACCTTTTGAAATCACAAAATGAGCACCTGCCTTTTCTAACCTTGCTCCTGATAGTAAATTTCTTCATAGACTTGGATTATATATCACATTATCTAACTCAATTGAATCTATTCGATTGCCTACGTTTACTGCAAATTTGACTTTCCTATTACTTTACTTTCACAATTTCCTACAGCTAAAGACATATGTATATCGTTTATTTCTTAAAAACTTGTCATTAAATTTCTATTATTACAGAAATGAGTTGTAGCTGTAGTATCTACGACCAAATTAATTTTATATGTGTTACCTTCTTTATCTGTAGTTGTTACATAATTTTCTACTAGCATTAATTCTTGATCTTTAAGCTGTCCATTTTTATCGTCTATTTTAAGCTTTTAATTTTTACTTACATTTTCTTTACATTGAGCAATAAAGTGTCCAAATTTATGACATCTGAAACAAGGTCCTATCTCATATTCCCCATTTTTTTTCTTAGATTTAGTTTTATTTTCAACTCTATCTTTCCCTGCATTTGAACTAATAGTATTAAGCATGCTTACCTTGCTGTCTTCTAAATCGGCATTTACCTTCCAAAGTCGGCTTTCTTCCCTTACCAGTTCTTCAGCAATTCTTTCCAGTGTAAAATCTTCATCCTTCCACCTATATATCAACTGTACAATGCCGGAGTATTCCTGGGGTAATCTCCTTATTGCCTGAAATCCTTTAGAAAGATCTGCCAAGTTGTGTCCAGCTTCAACCAACTTCTTTGCAGTCATTCTTATCCTCGCGATGAATAATCCTATTTCTTCATTTGGGGTATATCTAATGCTAAAAAATTCATCCAGTAGCTGAATTATCCTTGCTCTTGTTTTGAGTTGAAATTGCTTCTGTAGAACTTCCCATGCTTCTTTACCACTTGAGCATTCTTGTATAAGCGGCCTGAACTCAGTTTTAATTCCATAATATAATGTAGTGAAGGCTCTATTCTCTCTCAATGTGAATTCCTCCTTTTCACATCTTGTTGCACTTTTGTCTAATTCTTCTTCTTTGTCCTCTATGAAGCTCCAACAGTTTCTATCCAGTAACACCATTTTCATATCGACTTTCCATTGATCCCAGTTGTCATGGTTTAACAGCTCAAAACCTTCAGGTAGTAATGACATCTTCAATTAAGTGTAAGCACAACAACTTGAACAAACTTCTAAAACAGGTCAGCTTCTTTTTGTGGATAACGACCCTCTTCACTTACATTCCTTCAATGCTGAGTTGAACTGGATAACAGGTTAGCCGTTGGCGCTGGGCCCATAACCCTCTTGGCAATGACGATAAAGGCAAAGCATATTTTGCTTCCCTTAAATAAAGCTAAGACTTAAATAAAATTCATGCTTTATTCCGTAAATTAAAATAAAATAAGCTAACACTGTAGCCTTTACATTTAAAATCATTTGAGTGAAAGAAAACTAGCAGTATGTTAACTCATAATAACACACATTCGCTGATACTGGCATTCATATATATAATACTCGGCCAACCCGCCGATCTTGACGTCATCGGCCAATCAGCGGCAACCACGTTAGCTTACCGCCGATTGACCTCTGATCAAAATTTGCATATGGAAAAACTAAAGTCAACAGTACCCTCCTGCATCCAACAGTCACATATCCGCATTACAGTTGTTTGGTTTCTTCCAACATGACTACTGATTTCTCTGAAAGATAATCCACATTCTCGGTAGGCCACTATCCTTCCTCTGTCAAACTCGGATATTTGATCAAATGATGAGCGCTGTTTACTACAAGGCATAATTGATCTCTTTTTTTTTTTTTTTTTTTTTTTTTTTAAACCACAAGAAAAACACAATTGCCGAACTTGAAATCATCGAAAACTCCAAGCCTTAAATAGTGCTTTGAAGTGGCGCCACAGGTGTGCGTGTGCGCTGAAATTCTAATCATTTGCATATCTCACCTCCGCTAATGCATGTTGTAAATTTCATGTTATTTGCATGCTTCCTTCAGTGTTGTATTTACGGTGGCCAGCAGTGTATTAAATAGCCCAAAATCGTTCTAAAAATGAGTGAACATTTTCTACATTTTCTGGTGATTCAAGTAAACCTAAGTTTTTGGTTTCAGATGTTCTAAGAATTTTGCTACGCTTTTCTTGAATGTCCACTGTCAGGTCTAAACCACTTTCTGCTGTTTAGCAGTGTACTTAATAGCGAAATAAAAGGTTGACTACATGCATCCCCAAAACTATGAAATTCCCCTTTTCCTCTATTAAATAGGGATAATGGTAAGTTAATTCATAGTTTAGTAAGAGCTGTGGAAGTTCAACAAGGTAAGACAGGACAGCTTAATAAAACTTGCAGCTAAGATATTTTGGATTCAGATACTCGAACTTGATGAATCCAGATTTAAGAAAAGTCTATCATACCAAATAAAGAATTAAAAGCAGTTAGAGAACATACAGAAAAATCCTTGGCTCACCACTGAAACAAAATATGTTAAATTGAAACAAAAATATAACCCATGAGTGGCTTGCTACTTATAAAAACTTATGTAACACTTTTTTGCTAAATTTGTGTAATTATTTTAGTTTCTGTTTCCATAAACCTTCATACATTAAGATGATAATTAGATCATTAAAGAAAATAAGAAACAAAACATTTTAAATAATAAGTTAATGTACACTAAATGACAAAAATCTCGTTAACATGTAAAGGTATCATGCCACTTAGGATTAACTAACCAACTGAAAATCTCGGAAAAATTTATGTAATGCTTTTTTGTGATATTTTTTCAAATTTCATCAACAACCGCAGAGCAAGTCTGTTTCATTGCTGCAAGCTTTTGCAGTAAACACATTCTGAACAGTTACTGATATCTAAATACCTTTAAAAAGAACACTAGTATTTTTTTAAACTGAAATGTCCTTTATTCTATCAATTGCTAATTAGTGTTATAATTTATTTACTGATATATTAGCTATTTACTAATGCATTTGTTCTCAAACTATATTTTTATTAATTTTTTAATAAAAATATATTTCAAATTCCAAATTATGTATATATAATGTAATAAATTATATGCAAAAGTATTTATTTATTTATTTTTTTTTTTTTTTTTTTTTTTTTTTTTTTTTTTTAAGGATGTTTGCAGCTTTGAGAAGTATACCACTTCTTGGTTACCAAATAGAATCATTTTCAGAGGTAAATATTTTTCTGAAATTTTCAGTAATAAATAATATAATAAATAAGTATTTATTTATTATCCTGTATTCAGATATGATTGCTGAACTACAGTAATATGGCTTTCATTATTTAGCCTCTTGAAAATGTGGATGCTTCACTATTGTTTCAACTCACTCATCCAGGACAAGCCCCTATCATTTTTCATGCAGACACACTTGGTGCCACTGAAAGGTACATTTATAAGATTTTAAATATTTTTATGAGAAATTATGTATTTTAAGTGCCAAAAAATTTAAATTGTTGGTAAGGTTTGGCCATTTTAGAACTTAGCAGAAAATCACTGTGCTGCAGCATTCTCAAAACTTTTGCTGTAGTATACTTTTTTCAAGATGTGACAGCATTGAGAAATATACTGTTTCTGTATATTCATATATTCACTACATATAAAAGAAAGGTGTGATATAACATAAAAATGCATTCGAGTTAAATAAATCCTTTAAGTTCTGGTGTACTTCTAAGTAAATCCTTTGTTTGTGGCTGCCTGCATTAATCCTGGACTATTTGCTTCCAAATCAAATTATTGTTTTAATGCTGTATTTGATGAGAACACAGACAGAATGCCTTGCAGATTATTTGATCATGCATTGTGATGATACCAATATTAACTGTCAGGTTCTGCGCCATTTAGAATGGCATTAGGCCACATGTAACTGTGTATGAACGGTTCACAGCAGAGCCATGTGTAGCTCTGTATGAATTTGCAGAAATCTTGTGGTCTGTACAAGCCACTGTAACTCAGGCAAATTAACATCTTAAAACCTGTGATTAATCATCTGCACTCATTTAAGCTTGAGTGAGTGAGCTTCAGCAATTGAGCAATCTATTTATTAATAGGCTTCTGTATCTACGAAAAAAACCTGCCTTGTTACATAATTGTTCTGTTGGAAGTTTCAATTATAGTTTATTGAGAAAATGATTACTTAACTGATCTAGTTGTGACCATTAATATTAAAAATACATTAAAACAAATGTCACATGAAATGCACGTATGAAATTTTTTCCATGTTTTCTCTGGAACCTGGTTCAACTACATCATATAGTTTGTCATAAAACCAGGAGCGGTAAATTTCTGTGCACTCCAGTCTCTTGATGCTCTCAGCATGTGCTTATTTGACTGCATAGAATGGCCTTTCTTTCTAAGCCAGCTCAATTCTGCATAGAATGGGATCTTAAGGATCTACTTGAATTTTGACTGATGGTTGTTGATGCAAATTGATTTGATTTTTTGCAATGATCAGCTTTTAATTTTGTAAAAAATATTTATAACAGAGTTGCCACACTACCTAGAAAACCAGGAAAAGTAAGGGAATTCGAAAATTGACCAAAAAAATCAGGGAAATGTCAGAGAATTTAAATATTTCAGTCAAAATCAGGGAATTTCATACGGTCATCCCCAAAAAAGCAGTATTCTCACCATTGGAAGTGATCACTTTCTTGGCGAATTATGTATCACATGAGTGAGTGGACTGCTGGTGTAGAGCCAATTTTGCAGCGCCAATCAGATTGTCTTTTAGAAAGACAAAGCAAGTTTCCAGTATCTTTGGTTTCTGTAACCTCAAGAATCCAGAGAATTGCATGCGCACGTGCAGTGCATATTGAATAAAATTAAATTCCTCCCCCATTCTTATTATAAAACAATATTGCTTAAACCTTTTCTTCTTTTCTAAATGCCTTATTTGTCATTTTGCAGCAAAAAAAAAAAATAAATAAATAAATAAATAAATAAAAGTCATCTACGCTGACAATTTAATACATCTGTGTTTACCAAAATGCAGTTGATTTTTGTAATTCAGTCTTTAATCCTGAAGTAATAACTTTATTTTAATGTTATTTATATCATTTAATGTGTCCTCTTCCATCTAAATTTATTTATTATTAGTTAATAATGCTTTCAAATTTATGGCAATTTTCTCTGGCATACTTGTGAAACTACAAGTAGCAGTATGATGACATACCATCACGAAATTTAGTGCACACACTTTTTACTTATGTATGCTGCTATATAAATATAAAATATTATTTAAAATGAATAATAAATTTAAATAAATAAATGAATTTATTTAAAAATATCATTAAATATATTTCTTTCTTTCGTTTAGCTGCAAAAATGTGTGCAAAAAAAATCTCATTTTTTTAAATCCAGATAGGGCAGATTATGATCTCAATCATCAGTGGAAAAATGTGACTCCTAGTTATAAAAGTAATGCCTTGGGGATTTATATATATAAAGTCATGTGTAATTGAGAAGTTTTTGTGTTTTCAAGTGGTACCATAATTAATTTACCCTCAGCACAGCCAACATGCACTATGCAGGTAGACCGGAATGTTCTTGAAACACACCTGAAAAACTTGGAAAAGTCGGGGAATTTCATTCTCGTGTTTGAGCGGCAACTTTGTTAAAATGGTCAGAATTTGATAGCAAACTACTAATATATTAACAAAAGCAAAATACTTGACATAGTATTGCAAGTTTTCAAATATTCTTTAATAAATGAAAGTACTTTAACAGCTGTCTATTAAAAAAAATGCAATGTTACAAAAGCAGAGACCTGTAAAAAGTTTTGTACACACAATAGATTGTACAGTACAGTTCTTCAGAATAGCATTGTCTTTACAATCTCTTTGGATTATGAAGTTGAGTATTACAGGTTATGAAATTAGAAGCATGAGCTGATCAGAGTATTGTCATTTATTAAGTAAAACAGACACAAAAAATCTGATGTGGACATGCAAGACTTCCTTGTATGAAATATTAAATTATATGCATTTTTTGCTGCATTTCATTTAAACTTATTTCCTCGAATTTCATTAGAGATATATTTTACGTTCAATTAATTTAGTTCTCACTTCGTGGCAAGTTGGAAATGCATAAAACCTCAAAATATCTTAATTAAAAATTGAAAGCTATAAAAAGACATAAAACACCGAATAAAGTTTTAAAAAAATACAATTAAAATTAGAATTTCTAAGCAAAAACAAGCAATATGGCCAACATGCAAGAAGGCAGATTTTTCGGTGCACAAAACTAAAAGATTCCTTTCAGTCCCACTCACCAAAAAGATACTGAAGGTGCTTAAACTGTCAACATTTCTCAGTCCACAACGAGGCAAAAATACATAAAAACTCAAAATAGCTATATTAAAAATTGAAAGATCTAGAAAAACATAAAACAGCAAATACAGTTAAAAGAATTACAAAACCAATTCTTACAATTAAAATTATAGTTTCTATGCAAAAAACAAGCAATTCGGCCAACGTGCAAGAAGGCAGATTTTTTGGTACACAAAACTGAAAGTTTACTTTTGGTCTCACTCGCAGACACTGAAGGCATAGAAACTGACTTTATTTCTTGTGGACGCTATGCTAAGTTAATATATATGATAATTTAATAACTTAAACAATAATTCCATAATGGATTAAGCATGATCTATTTCACAGTGATAAAAGAAGACATTACTTGTTGTTGCAAAGCTTAGTTTCTCTAGATTGACAACAAATCCATTATTCTGCTAAGTTTCAAATGTAAACAAACATGGCTTCTATTATAAAAAAAATTAGGCTTAGCCACACTTAAACAACTTTTAAATTGTTGGATAATTATACAACTATAACATGCAAGTTAATTAAAGGTGTAAAAACCTTAATGGAAAGATAAGAAAAACATAATTCAATCATTTTTAAAGCAAAAAATGCCCAATTTACAAACATATAAGAATAAAGAATGCGAGCTGAGTCGAATAACAAAGTAGATATATATACATATATTTATATATTATTGGTGCGGCCAATTGCAGCCAAAATGGGAGGTACACATCTACATGTTATAGCAATCCCACATACTAAATTTCAACATTCTGAGACTATTGGTTTTTGAGTTATGCAAGATACATACATACATAGGACGTCATGAGAAAATCTCATCTGAATCTATTTTATCAGTTTTATAATTCGTTTTGGGGAAAAGAGTCCTTTTTTCTATCTTTACGTACAAATATCACGCAAAAACATCGTTAAATTACATTCGGTAGCTGTCAAAATGGATATTTTTGTTGAAATATGATACCTTTACTTCGTACAAGGAAGTAAAAATTTAGGCTTAGCCGCACTTAAACAACTTTTAAATTTTTGATAATTCTACATCTATTGCATGCAGATTAACTAAAAGCATAAAAACCTTAACTGGAAGATAAGAGCAACTTAATTCAATCATTTTTTTTAGTAAACGCAATGCATTAATTTATTTAAAATGTATTTTCCCGATTGCCAACAACAGTTTGGTTTAGACGGTAATGTTTCTGAATAAATCAAGTATCTAACAATTAATGTTTGACAGAAATGTTTTTGAGTAAAGGAAGTAAATTAATGGCTAACATTAAGCAAAAAATCACAATTTACAAACATATAAGAATAAAGAAACAGCTCATTGAGCTGAGTAAGAGAGTGGATATATAGATATATATATTTATATACTTTTGGTGTGGCTGATTGCAACCAAAACGGGAAGTGCACAACTGCATGTTATAGTAGTTCTGTGTTCAAAATTTCAATGTTCTGAGGCTACTCGTTTCAGAGTTATGCAAGATACGGACACATGTACGTATGTAGAGACGCGACAGAAAATCTCTTCTGAATCCATTTTAAACCAGTTTTTAAAGTCTTTGGAGAAAAAGAGTTCTTTATTCTGTCCTTACTTACAGATGTCATGCATAAATATCTTAAATTGCACTTGATAGCGGTCAGGCTATTTGTGTTGAAATACGATACCCGGAATTTTGCGTGATTACAGTACTTCCTTTGCCTCATACAAGGAAGTAAAAAAGCACTCATAAACTAAAGATTAATAGTAGAAAAAGTTAGTGTATAGAGTTCAAATAAATTTGAAGGGACAAGAATGTTTCTTTCATTTTTCATCATATAAGTGAAATTTTGAAAAAAATTTAATGTATAACACAGTCTAAGTACAGAATAGTAACTGTTTAAGAATGAATTTTATCTAGTTTAAAATATTTACATATGAAATAATTCAGAAGTTAATTTTCAATGAGGGGTACAAACTTTTACTTATTTTTGTGTCATGAAAAGGAAATATGTGATATTTTCATCATCTAAAATGTATTCTTAAAATTAAACTTGAAATCATAAGCTGTTTTATGATGCTAATTTCAATGTTTTATTACTTTGACAGGTGGATTGCAGCTCTCAAAGAAGCTTCTGTTTTAGAGTGAAAATTGTATTTCTACACAGTAGTTCTTATAAATAACTAAGAAGTGTACAGTTTTAAATTATAAGGCTGAGTACTTTAAATAGAATGGCAGCTTAACTTGTTAGAGGAATGAGCCATTCTTAGATGATAGACAGTTTAAAGCTAAACATGTGAGAAAATACGTGAATATACTTTTCTCTGTCACATTATTTCAGAGGATTGTTTTTAGTGTGTATGTGGTTTTCTTTTTCTTACTGGTTTCTTTCTTAGACATAAATAATATATATTTATTTAAAATGGAGAGATTTTTTGAATCTCAATTATTATTGACCTTTTTTTTTAATTAAATTGACGAAAATTACCAAAGTATATAAATGAGAATTACCTTTAATATAATTTTGCATTTGCTGAATTGTTCAAAAAATGAATGTTCCTGTTAAAGATAAATCACTGTGTCTATGGTGCTTGAAATGAGTTCATCTGTTTTTTCTTTGTGCAGACTGTATTTAAGTAATTTCATAAATATGAAAAATTTTACCAAAGAAAATCATACTGTTTTGTTATTTTTTACAATACCTAAAGAATAACGAATTAGGAGAAATATTTTTAAAGATTTACAAGCAAATTGTGATAATGTAACATTCAAATGCCGTGTGTCATGTATTATATTTGTGTGTGTCATTTTCATCAATTAAAGTGTATGTAGATATGTGATGAAAAGATATATTGTTGTGCTAAGTATAAATTATATATTTGTTAAGAAATGATATAGAATAAAATTATGAATATTGGTCTATCTTTTTTAAAGTGTTATGAATTGTTAGTCTAACACATGTACACATAAACAACAAAAAACTTATTCTAAAACTATTAATTTTTTTAACTTGTGAAGGAATATGTGAACCAAGTAATACTGAAATAAACATTGTAAAATCCAGAGTTTGCGAACTTGTTATGCAGTGCATGTATGTACAGCAAACTGTGATTCACCACTTATAGAGAAGTAGTTTCATCCAATTTCATCATAGAGTCTGTTTGGTCATTTGAATCTTCTGAGCCAGATTCTTTATGGTTCGCTGATGCATGAAAAATGGCTTTTGTTAATGAAAACAAGTTTATGGTACAGTCGGAAAAATGCTGTAAATGGCAGGCTTTTGAAAAAAAAAAAATTTAAATCTTACTTGAAGTCATCAAATAATTTCAGCATTACCAGTATTATGTCAGCAAACAAGTAGAAATTCTTCAAAGATGATAGAAAAGGTAATGTTAGTGTTCCTTCCCCTTTTATGTGGGATTGCCTGTCTAATCCCACATGTTTATCTTATCTCTTGCATCAAACTGCTGTAATTTTTTAATTCACATTGTTATTGGTTTCCAGTGCAGAAGACTTGAATTTTCCATTACCGTTACTTGAGGTCATCACACTTTTACCTCAAGTAATTGTATGGTGTAGTTTTATTGCCAATTTCATTCTTGGTCCCTTTTCCTTTGAGAATACTCCTCAAGGCCCTCAGAAGTGTTCCATCATGGGTGCTCATTGCTACAAACTTCAGCAGCAAGTCACTCCTGATTTACAAAATGAAAATGTTTAGAGACTACTGTCTTTGCACATTGTTGGACTGATGAAGGCACTGCTTCATGCCCTCTCTAGAGATGATTGAATGGTTTTAAGATGTTTTCAGACTGCCTGGTCTTATTCTCTGGCCTTGAATCCTTGCGATTTCTGGTTGTGGGGATTCCTGAAAGATCCTGTCTATTCAAGGAAGCCTATGGTCTATACCTGAATTAAAAACAAACATATGCCATGTTGCTGCAACTGTTGAAGAAACGCATCGCATGAGTTTTGCATCGCATGTGATTGACAGATATGGAATGCACATTAAACAAATGCTGTGATTAAATAAAGTTTTGTGTTTTTTATTTTTCATGCACTCCCTTCCCACCTGGTGGTTGAAATTTTGAACTGTTACTTTTATTGCAGTTTCTTTTTCCCCATGGTCCATGTAACTATACCGAGTTTCAACAAAATAGGTTTACCAGAATGGATTCTGTATAGGTCTAAATAAAGTAAATTTAATTATAACTATATCGAAATAGTTATGAAACCCACGCTTTGACAATTCATTTCTCTGTAATTTACGCTTTAACCCCTTCGCGCCGACTGTCACGTCCATGTGCCAGCAACGAACACACTCACTTCCTGGCCGACACGCAGGCGTGCCAGAGCATTTTCCCATTCAGTCCTGACTGTCACGTATTTGTGCCAGTGTCCTGGAGCGTTTTAAAAGCTATAATTTCTGCCACCAGATGGCACTGTATGTCCATATGGTTTCAGATACATATACATTAGACCTTCTACTCGAAATGAGAGAAGCATGACTCGCATACATGTGTTTTTGATTATATAAACAAAAGGGGAAATAAATGTTTCCAAATGGCGTGATTTATGACGTCTCTTTAAATTCGCATGTGGTAGTTGTTTATTGTAAGTAGAGAAGTTTTATTTTTGCTAAAGCGTTGGGTATTTCAGTTTGCAGTTCAGTTTTTAGAAAATAATTAGATCTTGTTAGACGTGAATTCTTTCTGTTTTTACTGTTGCAATGTCGAAGCGTCAAAAATGTTTAACAGAGCATGAAATAGCAGAAATGATGCAAAATATTTCAGATATTGATTCTGAAAGATTAACTGAAAAACACTTTCCCAAACTTTGTTCAGAAGAGACTGATAAGAAAATGAGATGACGATGCTTAGTTGTTACATTCCTGGAAAAATCCTCCGAAACGGCAAATGAGTTATTACGAGTGAAGGAATGTAACAGGACTGTGTGTAGATCCCTGTTTTCAAATTTTTTCATACGAAAAGAGAATTTTAACTAATATATTTAGTTTTCAGATGTTAATGTTAAAGGCATAAAATGGTGAGTAATGAAATAAATGTGTAAAATATGCATTTAAACAAGAAATAAGGTAATTAAAGTATATATAAAAATATCTATAAAGCATAAGCCGTTTAAATACTCTATAGCGCATTATTAAACAATGCATTGATACTTCGGAAATTTCGTGGATTTAGGCTTAATAGCAAAAAAGCCCCTGGCCCTGGACAGACGCTCGCGTAAGACACTGCCGGCCTCCACGATAAACGTGCGTTTGCGCTACCCGGCGCGAAGGGGTTAAATGATAAGTTCCTGAACTGTAAGTAAAATCAGTTCACAGGAAGAAACATTTGAGATTAATGGGATGTTCAAGTATCATCATCACAAGGTATTTTGTTAGATATTGTTTAACTATACTACTCGAAAAATACCATTTAAAATTCTAATAGTGTAATCAGAGTTTCTGTTGCTGCATGAGAAAAGAAATAAAATGAACTTCTTGATTATGATTATTGATATGATTTCTTAAAATTGATGCTTCTAAGTTCTAATAATGCAAAGTTCTACTGCTTTTATCAATTGCAAAGGCGATTTATCAAGGTCATAAGATTATACTTATGAACTAGAAAAGAAAAATACAAAAAGCAATTTACGATTATTTTCACTCAGCCTAAAACTTATCAATACTTATTTTCAGAAGCTATCAGTTTTGCATTGAAAAATTTTATAACTTTAGAAAATTATTTATTATGAAGTTGTATTATGATTTGTGATATATTTATCTAGGAAATGAAATGCTTGCATATTTTCACTGACTAACATTTAAAATTACGTATTTACATTAAATCTTTACACATTTTGAAAGGAAATGAAAAGAAGGTCAGAAATTCTTTTATTTACTCTTTTACATATTTTAAAATGCTGCTTAGAACATTTGGCCAGCTTCAGATTTCAGTTTCAAATTTGATTAAATAAATACCCCCTCATTTTTTTTTAAATTTTTATTTATTTATTTTTTATTATCAATT